CCTTAACATCGAAAAGATGTCCTCCGTCGAAACCATCCTCTTCGACCTTCGCCACCACAAATCGTTCATCACGCCCCTAACCCCGCTCTCAGACCCATACATCCACTCCATGCAGACATTCCAAACATTCACTATCTCCCTCATCCAGTCCTTAGACGCCAAAACCTCCGCAGTTGTTGAGCTGGCACAGAACAACACACTGCAAGAACTATACTCAAACTTTCCTTCTTTCTACGAGCAAGAGACGTTCAGAGAATGGGTGAAAGACGGGACGCTAAAACATCCTCAGCGCCAGACAGAGGCACAGTGTCGGTATTTACGCATTGTGCAACTCCAGGCACGGGAGGAACCAGCCATGAGCGTCGTCGACATCGTAGCGAACGCTGTTGCTGCGGGAGAGGAATGGCGCGAAACCGCATACACGCCAGCGAATCTGCTGCAAGACCCAGACGCCTTACACTTCTTCACATGCGCCTCTCACGATCTCGAAACAGTCTCTATTCCCTCCTCCCCCACCTCCTCCTCCTGTCCAATCTGCACATCCCCTTTCGACCCTACCACACACATCCCCAAGCGCTTACTTTGCGGCCACATCTTCTGCACCCTCTGCCTCACCTCGTGGCTCCAAAAATGCCACCAGACATACACCTGTCCCCTCTGCCGGGCCTGCCTCCCCTGCGGGCGCAATCCCTGCACCTACCACCCTATCCCCCAGGAATCCGGCTTGGCGATGCCGTTACCGGAGATCATGGATGTTGTGTTAGTTGACACGATAGGTGGGATGGATGTACGGGGCGCGGCGTTACATGGGATGGCGCCGGAGAGGTATTGGGTGTTGAGGGAGGAGACGAGGAGGGATAGGGTGGGGTTGAAGGCGGCGAGGGATGTGCTTGGCTCGGGTGTGTTAGTGGGGGAAGGGAATGAGGGGGTTAGGCGGTTTATGGAGGGGGTGGAGAGGGAGGCTGCGGAGAGGGTCAGGGGGGATGTACTACATACGGTGGCGGGGGTGAGGCGGATAGAGGTTCAGTTGACAAGTTGAAAGTCGGATAATATGATGTCCTTTGTTTACATTTGGATTGCAAGAGACTGGTTTATTGGAGGTTCACGAATAAGCCCCCGTCAACTAGCAACTGCGCGCCATTCACATAGCTACTCAAATCACTGCCGAGGAAGATGGCTGGACCAGCAAGGTCACTCGGCACACCCGTTCTTCCCAGCGGTATCCTGCCTTCCATGTACTTCCTCTTCTCCTCGTCTTCGAGATCCTTCTCGTTGAGCTGCGTCTTGATTGTACCTGGTAACAGCGCATTGCACCGTATACCATGTGTTCCGAGTGCGCACGCGGAGGACTGGATGAGCGACAGTACACCGGCTTTGGTGGGCGTGTAGTGGCCCTGGTACGCGCCGCCGACGAGGGCGCTGATGGAGGATATGCCGATTATGGAGCCGCCTGGAGGGGACTGGGTGGACATTTGCTTTGCGCCGGCTTGGATGGTGTGGAATGCGCCGGTGAGGTTGGTGGTGAGGGTGTTATTCCAGAGGTCGGGTGTTATTCTTGCAGACGGGTGTTAGTTTTGCACTGTTCGAGTGTTGTTGCTGAGGAGAAGGACGTACTCTAGAAACTCCTTGAACTCGCAGATACCAGCGTTGCTTATCACAACGTCCAATCGTCCCCATCGTTGTACTACGGCATCTACCAACTTCTTGCCTGTCTCGGGGTTTCCTACGTCGCCGGGTACTTCTACTAGTCTCTTTTCTGTTTCTTCTTTGCTGGTTTGTAGGTTCGAGGCTGCTTCCTCGACGAGAGTTTGGTACTGGGAGGTGGACTTGTCGTCGCCGAAGTGGTTCACGGCGACGTTTGCGCCGTGTTGGAGATATCCTAGGACGATGGCGCGGCCGATGCCAGTGACGCCGCCGGTGATCATCATGGACTTGCCAGACAGCAGCTGAGGGGTTTGCGCCGCTGTCGGCGTGGTGGGCGTCCACAGACTGTTCTTGCGTGCGTGAGACATCGTGTTCGTAAGTATAGAGTGTGGGGTATGATAGATGGGCTATCGCGGTATACGAGGGGCTCAGGGTGGTCTGTCTGGAGGTATTGAGTCTCTTGGAAGACGGTGAGGAATAATTTGTCCGATAGCACCGTCTACCCAGGAAGCCATAATATACATGCCGCTATGCGCAATCTGGTTCGGTAGGTGCGATGTATGAGTGAGCCGTGTTCGGTCCACGTGTTCGGGGCATCATCAGCCGAGGCCGAAAGTCTTGGCGATTGTGTCGCGTTCGCCAGTCAAACCAGTTGCGCAGTTCTCGCAAGCCTCCACCAGATACTGCGATACGAGATCAAGGATGGTGTATTCTTGGGACGACAAAGAGGCGCTATGCTATCAACTCTATGTCGAGGAGCGGAGGAGTCTGGAAGAGGTCATGTCGTACTTTGAGATACGAGGGTTCACCCCAAGGTATGCAAGCGCTGCGCGGGAGAGTACATATGGGTCGCCGTACTCGCTCACCGTCATTTCGCAATCTAGTGTTTGGCGAAGATATCCAGAACACTCAACGCTGACCCTGTTACTCCAGCAAGCGTGCCTTCCAGACGCAATTCAAGGTGCGTCGCTATCGCACAACTTCCAGCCTCCACTCCGAGTCCTTGACTGATCACGTCATAGCGATGGGAGTTCCCCTCGAAGCAGAATCCAGCGCACAAGAACACGGCCCTCGTCGCGCGACTCCAGCAACTATGGGAACAGAACTATACGCAGAAGGACATGGTGGACACGCTACAGGCTGAGGGCTTCCAGATCAACGACCGCGAACTGCTGCGTTTGCGCCTGAGGCTCAAGCTCTTGCTTCGAGAAAGCGTTTCCAGGTCGAAGAAGACAAAGGCTGATGGAGGGAGGATACAAAAGAAGCCGAAAAAGAAGCCTACCAAAGTTGTGCCTGGGAGAGGTTTGATCAACCAGCTTGGTAACGCCATATTAGCAGAGGAATCCACAAGCGACGATGGAAGCGAAGAAGAGCCCGCGACTGCTCAGGAAGAAGGAGACGAGGGTGGGGCATCTGTGGAAGAGGCGCGACCTATACTCCCCGAACCCGACATCACAGGCTTGAGCGAGGAGGATGTGCTACGCAAGCAACTGCGCCAACAGCAGCTTCAGACCGAGAGCGACGAGAAATGGCGGACACGAAAGCGAAGACGTCGAACACGCGGCTGGGCCGGATTGCCAGCAGACGCACCCGGCGAACCGCCACGATTCCCTTCAGAAACCACCATCGACGAAGCCAAAGCATACCTCGGGTTGGATAACGATATGTACCGGCAGGTTCGAGAGAGCTTTCTCCAGATCTGCAAGGCGCAGGAAGTTACAAAGAAGACTATTGCCGGTCCGGAGAAGTGGGCGCAGATTGTACAACAACTCATTCGAGACGATGTACACTTGGCCCAAGTCTTCCAACAAGAGCCAGAGGTGCTACAGAATGTCGACGCGCTCTTCCGTCCGAAAGGTCAGAGAGCGCTGTCACTTGATGTCATCTGTCTGGACGTTACAAAGCGCTTACGAACGATGGATTCACGCATGACCCTCGCCGACGCAAAGAACCTCCTTGGTCTCAACCCCGAACAGACGCGACACGTCCGTAGCGCCTTTGCCGACAAGCTAAAAGCAGCTCATTTTTCGAACAAGCATGAAGCTGGTGAGGAACGCTGGACAGGTCTGAAGCAAGCGTGGGTCAACGAGTCCGAGTTCCTGGTGAAGGCGCTCGCACAAGGGGAAGACGATCCACAATACGCAAGGAAGTTACGGGCTCTCGAAGTGTTGGCCCGAGATGTGATGAAGAGGCAACAGCAGGAAAAGACCTCCAAAGACCCCAGCAAGAAAAAACAAGTTCATCAAGGACCGGGCCCGGGACCTGCACCGCCTGTCGTCGCTGCACACCCGACGAGTATGGGAAACAAGGGGAGACAACACAGTAGTGGTGGCCGGAAGACAACGACACAGACTACATATACGGCCGCACCATCTCTATCCACAGCTTCAGATCTCCAAATCGACCCATCTCTCCTCCTAGCCGCCAGCGATGCCGCAGTCCTACCCATCCCCTCCTATTCCCCTCAACACCACTACCAGTCCTCCCACTACCAACCAGCATCCCAGCACAACCACAACCACAACCACAACCACCCCAACCCACACCCCCCCTACCAACAACCCTACTACCCCGCCACCCCTCCCATCCCCATCCCCACGCCCCTCCCCGTCTACTTCCGCCTCCACGCCCACTCCTCAACCCCGTACCCCACGCGCTCCGTCTGGCTCTCCATCATGCAAACCCCCTCCGTCAACGCACTCCGCGACTTGGCGATGCGCGAACACCCTGGTACTGTTGTGCATAAACTGCAGGGGTTGGTTGTACATAGAGGGGGGAGGGCGGAGAGTGAGGTGGTGGTTGAGGTTACGGATGATGAGGAGTTGAGTGCGTATTTGGGGCTTGTTAGGAGGGCGGGGCGGGAGGATGGGGGGCAGGGGCAGGGGAAGGCGACGTTTGTTGTGTTGTTGGGGATGGGTGGGGAGGGGGGAGGGGGGTTTGTGTAGGTTGGTGGGTATGATGGATAGACGCGATGGGTTATGCTGGTTATTACAATCTCGTCATGCCATCTCTAGATCGACACAGACAAGCTGAGCCCTCATCTCGAACCATTCATGAAGCATACTAGCCTTAATAGTCCCAAATCTACATATTGTCATTCAATGTCAAGTATAAATCCAACTGGAATGCCCGTCAAGTGACAAAGACAAACAAAACACTCCCCTCACATACACCATCACATCAGCTCCCCCATCTACAACACCACCCCATAAGCCTCCTCCCCCGCCCCCCTCCAAACCCTCTCCTTCTCCCCCTCCCCCAGCCCCTTCCCCTCTATCCAACTTTCCACAACTTCCCTCCAAAGTTTCCAGCTCCCTTCCTCCCCCGCAGGCCCACCCACATTACACACCGGCCAGTCACTCCCGAACATGACTCTGCCTGGAAAACACTTGAACACGTGGTCCAGGAAAGGGGATAAGACAGTTAGGATACTGGCGATGTCGGCGGGAGTGGGCTCGACGGTGAATTCGTTGAAGGCGCCTGAGAACTTCATGTAGACGTTTGTGTCAGATGAGAGGGATGACATGGCTTGCAGCCAGATGGGGGATGGGCTGGGGGATATGGGTGAGAGGGGGGGTTTGGCGAGGTGGTCTGGGAGTTTTGTTAGTTTGGTGTTATCTTGTCATGTTTGTGAAAGAAGTCACAGCGCATTGCGGTTTTATGGCTTGGGTGTGTAGGAAAAGGGGGAGACATATACGTACTCAGGACGAACTTCACCTTCTTTCCATCTCCATCTCCCTCCTTCTCCTCCCTCGTCCTAACAGCCTTGATCAACCCCCCAACTGCCTCCATAGGCCCCGTCCCATCCCTATGATTATCAACACCTACATCAAAACACCACGCCTGGCATCCATCTCCCAACCCCTTCAACCCAACTAGATTACTAACCCAGCTCTCCTCGTCTTCCTTTAGCATCTTAGCAACAACACCCTCCCCCTTCCTTTGCAACAGATACCTCCATCCTTTGATACATTTCCAGAGCTGCGGCCCAGCCACCTCCCTCACAATCTCTAGATAAACATCAAACACCCTAGGCTTCAGATGAAAAGGCGCATACACAACAGCCCCCTTCATCTTCCCACTTTCCTCCCCCGTAAACCCATCACCCCCCTCCGGCGTCCCCTCCACAATCCTCCTCAGAAACCTAACCTCCTCCAATGGCTCCTTCGCCCACTCCCTCAACTTGCCCTTAACATCCTCATCGCTATCAGAGCCTGAGATACTTGGCTCCGCGGAGGAAAGATACCGATCAGTTTCTACGTAGATGAATCCCGCGGGCTGGGGTGATGTGATGGAAAGATAGTCTGAGATGCCGTGCCGTTTGGAGAGGTGGTGGCCGGGGGTCATCCAGCCGTGGTTTGAAGAGGATGTCGCGGTTGAGGGCCAGAGGTGGATGTGTGTGTCTAGGATGGGTGTGTCTTGAGATGGCATTGTTGGATTGGTCGGGTTGGTCGGGCCGTGGGGCGTAGTGTTGGAGGATGTGAGGCTGATGTCGCCTGCGTAGGATTTTGGACGGGTGAGTCTGAAAGGGTCTTTTTTCTTCTTTTGGTGGTAGTTCTAGACTGGTTGTTGGGCGTTCCTGTTGGTTGATATGCTATACTGAATACTGTGGTGTTGTGATGCGGGGAGATGCTTTCGGTTGGCGGGGTAAGTGGCTCCGAGGAATGTCCATCGATAGATTGTTGTACACGAATTCTACTTCTTCACGTAGATCACGGTTGATTCTGATTCATGTTGTTCTGATTTGGACGTTCTCGTCTCTTCCAGGGTTTGCTTTTCCAATCGGGGAACTTAGCGTCTATGACAATCCAATAGCAATACTAGTGATGAACTTGCAGTATTGATGTGCAACATACTTCTGAACTACACCAACTAAGATTTATCGAAGACAACATGAACTCGGAGTTTGATAAACATAGAGCAAAGTCAAATGGACAGGAAAGACCGTCCGGCTTGGCCGCCCTCCATCACGATATGGCCGGTGATAATCAAGGCAACGCACAACGTATCGACGATTCCCAGCCTCTGGCCTCGGCAACTTGATCCCGAAACACATGCTTCGTATCCTGCAGACGCGATATACCGGAGTGCACGACCGTTGGTTCTAGACACATGCAAGGTGTGTATCTTGGCATCACAACCAGCGCAGTACATACCACATACAAAGCAGAACCCACATACTTCGTACATCTCACCAAACGCGCTCCACGGAGGAAACGTACAGCCATTAGGCGTCCCCTGCACGCACGATGCCGACTTTGACGTGGTCTCAAAAGGCAGCTCGTCTCGATCGTGCAGTGATAGGCGCTTAGTCGTCCCGCGCTTCCCAGCCACAAGGACAAGTGTCAAACTCAATGCCTATGAAGCCGACGGCAATTGTGGGGTAGCCATAGGCAAGAGGGTAAGAATATACTTTCGCTTGGAAAGCGAGAGCGGGTGCCCATCGATCCTGGTGCTATTGCCCTTGATTGCCTCTCACGGTGCAGTAATTCCCGTGGGAGTGTTCGGAAGCGAGGGAGGGGTAAGCGGAGCAAAGAGGGCCGGAGAAGCACCGACGCTGCCAGGCGCGCAGCTCAACAAACAATTTTCAGAAGTCGTGCATACGTGAGGCTCTGCGAAGGTCCCTTTGTTTCCGTGGAGCGTGACATGTGACTGGGGATCCTGCTTACTGCATCTGCCGAAATTCTTGTATCGGCAGCGCGCAGCATGCGCGAATTAGATGTATGGCCGAAGCTGTCAAAATCTGTGGTGGCTGAGCGTCTCCGATCCTATTGATCTCAGCGTTTAGTCAACTCCACCACTGTCAGCAGGACCCTCTCTGTATTGCAAAACAGAGGGTCCGCAAATGGACCTTCGCCTGTTGGTCTCCAGTATCACCTCAGCGCTTACCAATATAGTGCACTATGGCACACTTTGCTGAGCACTAGTTGTTATTGTACCCACACCCGTTTGCCCATCATCCGCCAGAATCTATCAGCGAGTGGACCTAAGACCGAAGTAGCTCTTTGCAGATACTATGGGAATGTCTGGCGGCCTCATCCCGCGATGTATGACGTGAGGTGTTGAAAGCTGACTCGTGCGGCGCCGAACGCCTAAATCACAATCAAGGATCGAGAGGCCGTCCGGCTGTTCTGATGGTGAAAGCAAGAAGAGGGTGGGGTGAAAAGTCTGGATGCAGCGAAAGTAGCCGTGATTGTGGAGAAGACAGGCAAGACCCTTGATGTCTTTTGACGCCGAGTCAGCCACGGCTCAGTCAGGATGCACGTCATTTTAGCGCGTTTACAGCCGTGGAGTAGAGGTATGGGTTGCGGCTCGCTCGGTTCAAGAGACCGATGGTTAGTGAGCGGACTATAGATCGTGTGTTCTTGTGGCTGATGATATGGGAATGCGGCTGTGAGACGATGCTAATCTTGGTTGCGCGATGTTTGACGTGCAGCTGCAGGGTCTTGCTTCGTAGATGGAGTACCAAGGTTGCTATGCGGAATGACAGTTCAGTCATGTGAGTATGTCGTGCGACGTCGTCATCTAAGATCGACGAACCATGGAAAAAGAAAAGCGCCGGGCCCCGTAGCGGACAACGGACGAGGCTTGATCGGATTCACTATACCAAAGTCGCACCGAGCCTAAGAATGGCTAGTAAGGGTTCCCAAAAGGCCACCTATATCTGCGGTATTAAACGACGCGCAAGCTGGTGGAGTTGGAAGCAGTAGGTTGAGACGATGACGATGTCATATATGGTATCTTCCCCACATTACGACGTTGCAGCGTTCCTGGATATAAGCCGTTTCGGGGCAGACTGGCCAGATCGACCTTGAGCACGTGACCTGTACTCCGAAGATGAAAGCTTTTCCACCATACATATCCGAAGATATGCCGCGACGAGCAGAATCCGGCGATAACTGTACCGCAAACGTTAGAGGTACCTGACTCGAAATGATTTGCAGCTCGTGCTTGCTTGCCGCTGGATCTCGGTTCACGACCGGCACGGCGCGACGCTACCTCGGGCGCGCCAGTTCAAGGCCCATACAGACGGAGAGAAGAAGTTTCCAAAGTTTCGCAACTGGAGTTTCCGAACAAGCACGGCTATGCTTCGGTATTGTTGGAGATTGCTGATGATGTAAAGATTATGTACTGGTTTGGTTGAACAGGTTCGCGTACCCGTGTCGAACTTGGAATATTGCTGCCGGTATGGAGCCGTGATCGATTCAAACGCACGCTCGGAGGAGGCTCCAGCATTGTGTCAGACAATCATGACACGATCATGACCAGATCCAAAACTTGCATGATAAGTAGCCTCAAACAACTTATGGAGTAGATCTGGGCCTTTTGGAACTTAGGCTAGACGTCTGATGTCGTCAGAGGGCCAGCATCTATAGAAGCTAACGATGCCGACAAGGACTCCGCAAATACACAGTCTTTGCTGTCGCGGTAATAGCCAGCATGGCCTTAGCGCAGCGTATCCTGGTGAGGATGAAGTGGGTATTTGTACGCATTGCATGACAGCCCTTGGCCCCTTGCTTCAAGATGTACGAGTAATTTGGACCTTCGCGCATAAGTTCCCTCAAGTGAGATAACTGGACGGAAGAGAGGTGATGTAAAGATTTTTGTGTGATAACGTGCGTCCCGACAGCGTGTCTCGCGCGTGAAGCGAGATGTGCAGAGTTTTCGCCTTCGACCCAGCTGTTTGGACAACGTTTCGGCTGCTGACAAGCAGGATCAAGCGAATGTCAATTGTCCGGAAGTGCAGACTGATTGCGCTGCCATCATCAGGCATCCCGGCCCATGTCGTGTTACGTGGGTAGCAGATAGGTTGTGCCATCTTGCAAGCGTGTATATTGAGCAGTCATTGTCATCTCGATTGGAGATGTTCATTGCCATTTTGGCTAGTGCGTGGCGCTCGCCCAGTCTGCACCTGTGCAGTTGTAGTACTTTTGACAAGCCAGGCACCAATGACAATGTTCCGTCCGGTATTGGTAAATGCTCTGGGACACGGCACGCGAGGGTCGAACTGCAAGTCCGTGCCTAAAGCTGTCTGCAGCGTGTTGCATCGGGGATGCGGCACAGATGCTTGCGACAGCTTGGCTACAGAGTATCAATGTACATGTGTGCTGTTCGATGCCTGGTGGCCCATCTGCTGCGAATGCTACGTACGCAGTGACAGGCAGCTATGACGAGAGGTGGAGAAATGGGTCAGGCGTCGCGCCGCAGACAGCGCCAGTCTAGCGCGTGGGAGCTTGGCTCTGGACACACAGGCCTGCGGGAGCGGGATGACCAGCATAAGGTTTGGACAAAGGGTCTCTTCCGTGCGATTTGCTGGCTCGCTAGAAGACCAGGGCTCATGCATCTGTCATCCGTCATCGTCCCTGTTGACAAGACGCAGAATTTGTGTCGTGGGTAGGGAAGAAAATTGCCGCAACGCACGATGATGTTTGATGAGGGCCAGCGATGCAAGTGTGCATGAGAAGTTCGGCGCCGGCATGGCTTCCTTGAAGCTTCAGCTAGGACGTGCAGCATGCAGGCCCGCTTGAGTGGGCAGCTTCGTTGGTGGGAAGACCTGTGGACGCCATCGACTTTTCAGCGCCATCGGATCGCGATAGGGGAGTCGAAAGTGCCAGAAAAACGCTGACCCCCAGGGCCTGCTGCAGCCGATGCTGGACGGAATACTCTGCAGCAGTGGACGAAGGGCGGATTTGGCGTGGGAGAAGGGCAGCTGCGAGAGTGACATTGCGCAAAGCCACAGATTAAACGATGCTGCGGGCCATGGCCGAAAGCGGAGATACGAGGTAGTTCCGAGACTTGGGGAGTGGGTTCTTCAATTCCCTTATCCCGTAAACCGAGGGGTACCTAGGTACCTGCCCTTCGCACCTGCCGCCTTTGAGTGGTTCGTTCGGAAGTATTGCCTACCTATCCTCTGCGTAGTGCGCCCGTCTCAGATAACGTGCCGCTATTTGTCTCGAGGCGGCCCAGACTCCCACATCTTTGCCGTAAACGATGAAGCAGGCGATGTCCTCGATGCGGGTGATGGTTCGCGCTACTTGTAGGCCGTGCAGCGCGGGTAGGACGCCTAAGACGGCTGACCAGGGGGTCGTGTGTTGCTCGGGAAACAGCTGTGATGTTGGGATAGAGTTTTTGTGCCGCGGTTGCACAATTGTGAGACGTGGAGCCAGAGCAGTCGCGGCTGACTACGCGCCTCGGGGGACGGCAGGAGCGAGCTGCGACGTTGGAAGTGGAGGAAGGCACCAAACAGAGCGACTGTAATAACGGTCATCATCATTGTCATTTGTTGTGACTTTTGCGTAGACTACATGGTTGGGTATTCACCAACACGGCGCGTGGAAAGACGCTGCAAATTCGACCATGGCCGTAAACTCCTTGAACACCTTGCATCCAACCGGGCCCATTTTGGTATCCGAGAGCTGCCACGCTCAATA